GCCCCCAAAGGCCAAGAATAGTGATTTTCTGTGGCTGGAAACTTGTACCCCTGCCCCAGGGACCAGCTCAGCACGACCCTTCCTAGGTCCCCCGTCTGGCCTCAGGGATCTCGCAAGCTGGATAGATTTAGTGGTCTGGGGAAGCAGCATGAAGCTGCAAGGCTGGTTTCTATGGTGACCCCCAACCTGGAGACATCTTTTCCTTCTGTTCCTGAAGCAAGCTCAGGATAACATCACGGGTGTCCGGCTGCTGCGGAAGGAGGTTCTGCAGAACGTCTCGGTAATTGGAAGCTGGGGAAGGACGGTGCCTCCCTCTGGGTGGCTGGTCTTCTGTGGGTGAGGCTGAGGCGTTGTCTAGGTTGACAGAAAATTTCACTTCCGCCCTGGGCTGAGCCCACGCAGGACGGGGCTGGGTAGTGAGCCAGAGAAGTGATGTCTGGGGTCATCAGCACAGTATCTGGGCCACGTAGTTACGTGAGTGTATGGCACAGGGAGAAGGGCAGGGATTAAGGCTTGTAAACATCTGTCTCCATTTAGCAGACAGTTGTCATCAAACTTGCCTTCTCTTCGGCCTGTGTCAGCCCAGTGGGCATCTGTTAGGCCTCTTCCATGCCCCTCCTTTTTTCTCACCCGTCCCTCCTCACCCATCTAGGTAGTTGGTGAGCACAAACGACTGAGCCCTCATCCCTTAGAGATGCTGAAGTTCTCTCTGCGGCACCGCAGGGGGCCAGCGTGCGATCCCCATGCTCCAGGGGGTTTTCTGTTCCCCCCAGGTCCTGTCCCTGCCAGCTCTCAACCACCAAGTTCTAGTGCTTTTCATCAGCCCCCACAGCTATGAGAGAGGCCGTGTAGTGCAGAAGGAAGAATACGGACCAGATAGGGAGGCAGGAGTGCTGGGAGCTGGGCTTGTGTCTGCCACTGACCAGCCATGGGACCCTGGGCCTGTCCCTCCCCTCTGGGGCTGAGTCCTCCTGGCAAACAAAAGCACCTGAAGGCTCCTTCAGATCTAACGTGTTTCAGTGTCTCCTAGAAGATCCCTGCCCCGCTGTGGTTATCTTGCTTTGCATGGCTTGTGGGTTGTTCAAAGCAGTGCCAGGGTGGGCAGTGGCCTGGGCTCTGCAGTGACCCCGCCCCTCCCCAGGAGGCTGAAAGCTGCTACCTCATCCACGCCCTGCTGAAGTTCTACTTGGACACCGTCTTTCGAAACTACCGCCGTAAGGCAGCAGAGTTCAGGATCCTGAGGTCATTGTCTACTCTGGCCAACAATTTTATTGTCATCGTGTCAAAACTGCAACTCAGTGTGAGTAGAACAAAGCTGGGACCAGGGCCCACAGGAAACACTGTGTTTTCAGAAGACTCCTCCCTTATCTGGTCCTGGCTTTTATTCCATGACAAGGGGCTGCAGGTGTCCTGGAAAGGAGCACAGGCTCTGGACATCAGCAGTTCTGGGTTCAAGTCCAGGTCTTCTTCTAACCAACTGGGTGGGTGTCCCTTTGCGAGGGGGGGGACATCTCCCTGGGCTGAAGTTTTCTTATCTATAAAATGCAGATGATCACTCCTACCTGGCAAGATTGCTGTAAGAATTAAAGGAGGCAGTCCCTGCCAGACGGTGGGAGGTGAGCATTGGCTGCCTTGAGGATGTGAGGTTTACATCTGTCCTCTTAGGCTGTGGGATGCCCTCTGGCATCACTAGGAAGGAGTGGGAGAGGGCTTGCCTCTGCTCCCAGCCAACACTTGGGACAATTTTTTGTTCTGTTATCTAGCAGGAAAATAAGATGTTTTCCACCTGGGAAAGTGCACGCAAGAGGTTTCTGCTGTTCCAGCGAGCATTTAAACAGGTAATCAAGGCCTGGACTGAGAGCTGCCCAGCCAGAAGGACATTAGCCTGAATTGTCATGTGAGGCTGCCTCAGGGACCTAATGCAGAATTCAATTCAGGTGGCACCACCTGGCCTGCCCCAGAGCCATCTGACTTAGCAGGAGGGCAGCTACATCTGCACAAATTGACATATCGTTTGCGTAAATACCACAAATGACATGGCCTAGCCTCCTGCCAATTTCAGATTAAAATGCTCTCATATTTCCCTACATGATGGTTTCACTAGCAGGGACATTGAGGGTAGGCAAAGGCAGTCAGATGAGAGCGAAAAAGAAGGGAGACACCCCACAACCACGACAGACATCTGCAGTATTTTTCATAATGCTCAAACAGTCTAGTTTGTGAAAAAGAATTATGGGAATTATATTGCCTTTTCCCAAATTGAGACAACAAAAAAATTCAAATCTCATCCTCAGATCCCCCCAAAACATACACAGTTTTGATCGGTTTTTTGATTACCAGCTTATAAACAAATTGTGAAGAGCAGTGACATATAAGGGAAGGGGGCCACCTGGGCCTCAGTTTCCTCATCTGCATGGTGGATTCAGGAGGTAGACCAGATCCACCCGATGCTGGGGTTTGGTTATTCCTGTTGTCAGGGACTCCAGATACTTTTCCCATGTTCCTTATCTGCTGCTACTCACTGGCCCATTTGTCATCATCCCCCGACACTTCAAACGAAGCAGACAACACGCATAGACAGGGAACAATTGATGGGTAGGTGACGTCATCAGAGGCCATCCCATAGGGGATGCAGCCCACGATTTGGAGTCAGGCAGGGTTCAGGGGTTGGATGGAAACCTATTCTTGTGGCTAACGTGACAGATCTTCAACTATCTTTTCCCTTTAGTTGGACAGAGAAGCTGCTGTGACCAAAGCCTTTGGAGAAGTGGACATTCTTTTGACCTGGATGGAGAAATTCCAACAGCTCTGAACGCCTCCACCAGGATACCGTCCTTGGCCTCCGTGCCATTTCAAACGAGCATCCCTTTCTGTGATTTTCGCTGGGCACCCTACACCCTTGACCATGAATCCCATTCCATTCCTGACCCAGGCTTATCCTCAAAGACTTCATCCTTTAAGTTACAGGAGGTTCCCTCAGACGCTGTAAATATTCCACAAAGCAGATTCCTGTATTTATTACAACTCTATTTAACTCCTATCAGTGTTTTAACTGATGCCATATTTATTTATCAGACTGAAAGTTCTGTGAAGGCAGCAAGGACAGCGCCCCATGCTTCTCTCTTACCCTTCACAACCCTTGCCACCATGTGGGGCAGTGATGGATGCTCCTTAAATGCTTAATAAACTGGATTTTAAAAACCCCAAAAACTTGTCTTCGAATTGTTGAGGAACAATGAGAAATGTTGGGATATGAAATTGAACTTCAGGACATCATATTACCATGACATCTGCAGGAACAGAGCATTCGGGTGAGGGGCGCTGGTTTGAAATGTACATGATAAAAGACAATGTAGAGGCATGCCCGGCACAAAGCAGGCTCTCCCGAGCACTGCGCTCCTTGCCTGCACTGCCCCCGACGCCCGCCTTCCCCGGCCCTTCGGTGCGCTCCTTTTCATCCCATTCACTCTTCCTTATCTGCTACCTGGGCAGGGGCCAGTGTCAAGCTGACAGTGCGGATGGTGTCATTGTCCCTGGATGCATTGTCCCATCTGCGGTGACATTCCCTGCTAATAAAAGGCAGGGACCTCGTGTTGGGGAGCCTGTTCTTTCTATTACTGGACACGTGTCCGGTGAGGCTGAGTTGTGTGTCTGGGAAAGACCTTCTTCCTGAAAGCAAAACTGGGCATTCTCTAGTCTCAGGCTCTGGCCGAACTTTATAGTTGACTTCCATCCAAAGACATAATGTCTGCCTACCTATGCCTTTGTTCAGTGCATTTACCAGAATGAGTATGCGCAGGAGGTGGGATGTCTATTCTCCCGTGATGTGAATGCTATCGCAGAGCACCTGGCCCTCCGGGAATCCCAGGTCACCTTCCTCTCCTCCTCCTCCTCTGCCACCTGGACTGGCAAAGAGGTGAGGTGAATTTCTGAAAGCAGAGAGGTGTAACGGTTTTGGGTAGCTAAAATAGACCAAGGTTAAGAGAAGGGCACAAATGTCAGTGCTCGGCTCTGGAAGAAGGATAAATAGATGACAAAAATGATTCTATTTCCAAAAAAGGGAAAACGCTGGAGTGGGGGTACCTATGTACATCAAGGGAGGAAGACTCAGAGTGAACAGGACGTATACATATATCATGAAAACAAGCATGGTTCTGAAAATTTACAACCCTTCATCATATCAAAATAAATTGTCCGCACCATAGGACTCCAGATGAATAGAAACTCACTAGTAAGTGCTAGCCCTAAGATCAGGGCAAAGATGTTGTCTGGGGCATTTCATACCAAGGGCCCCTTCCTAGCTTAGGGCTGACGCACGTTGTCACAAAGCATTCCAGGCGTCTTCCATCGGTGTGAAGCCCATGCCTGAGAAAAGCTTCTGAAGTAACAGAAGTGAGATCTGCACTCCAGCCTAATGTCATGTGGTCTAGAGCCAGAGCGGCAAAGACCCTGTAATCAAAGACACTCTGCAAATCCTAGTGCCTGTCGCATGGCTTGGAAAGGAAGCAGGTGGCATTGGGACAGAAGTTCTGCATCCCCAGAGCCCACTGGAAAGTGGAAGAGGGATTCAAAAGTGTTCAAGAAGAGTGCGGGATGGAGTTGAGGGTGCTAAGTTATCTCAGAGCTAATGGACAGGGATGAGACTCCAGGTGGCGTGGCGGGGGAGGGTTCCAAAAACAGACGGAGCAGGTGTCGGAAACCAGCAGGCAGACCAGACTCATTGGCACCCAGGTCTGGGCCCCGGGGGACGGCTGGAGAGTTGAGTCAGGCAGGGTATGTTGATGTAGTCATTGGAATCAGAGTCCTCCATCTTGGCAGCAGGCTGGTGGTAGAAGCTCACGTATTCACAGCTGACATTCAGAGATGGGGCATGGAGCCAGGGAGTTTCAGACACCTGGGGACAACCAAAGAAGCATCACTGGATTTAGGTAAGGTGATTGTAGTATCCACAGTGGGCACTGGGGCCATGGGCATGGTTGCTGACCCCTAGAAGGCAAGACACAGAGGAGGCTGAGCTCCATCAAGTGGCTCAGCCTTGGGGATTTTCCACATGGTGTCTCACCCTAGATAACTGGAAAGCTCTTTGATCTAATGTAGCAGGGAGTGATGTCAATAGGGCTCAGACAAAAATCATGTGACTAAGCACAGGTCTGAAGGAGAACCAGGGTCTGGAAGAGTTTCCACTCTATAGAATTAGATGATGTGACTTGTGGAATAAATATGCCTCTTCTTAGGGAGGAATTCGGAAGTAGGCTGAGTCATCCCTTGCACCTCCATAGGCCTTTTATTCCATGGAGAGGCTGTGAGGTGACATGACAGTATGTTCTAGGAAGAAGCCAGCTGGTGAAGGGGAGGAAGGTGGCAGGCCATGTGGAGCTCCTCTCCCTTGGGCAGAAACTTCAGGACCATCTGCCTTCAGGATGGGTCAGTTCTCAGAGAGCAGGGCTGTCCCATGACCTCAACATGGCACAATTATTATAACATCTACCCAAAAAGGCTGCAGTAGGGACAGTCACACATTGTAACCAAGTGCTGAGAACTAAGGGGCCAGCCCCCCTGAACATAGGACGCACTGAGTAAAAGCTCACTGAAAGGAGCTATTACATTTCGTACTGTACCAGAGAGGGAAAGAGCAGCAGCTTACTTCCAAAATATGTCTCCCACTACCTGTTACAGTTCATCATTTGAGATTCATTTATTGAGCTTAAACATTTTTAAAGCCATTCCTTGTCAAGGTTAAAATATTCAGTTATTCATCATATGCACCTTGTTGTGAACTTGTTCCATCAAAACTTTAGTCCTTGATAGCAGAAATGTGAGTTTCAAGCAGGGAGGAAGGGTGAAATTTGAGCAAGGTCCAGGCACAGGTGAGGGCATGTGTGGTCACAGAGCAGTTTAAGAGAAAGGGGCTGGGGTAAGGGGAGAGCAGATGGGCACCGCTAGATCTACCGAAGCTACTGTGAACCTTCTCCGGCAGGGCTGGGTAAGGGCAAGGTTAAGCAGCCGGACGTGACTGGGGCAGAGCTGTTGCTTGCTAGGGGACATCACTCTCCCCTTTATCGCGACACGCAAGTTTGCTGAGCCAGGGATACATTTCTCAGCCTCCCTTGAAGGCAGATGTGTCTACATGATTAAATTATGGCCAATGGGATGCCAACGGAAGTGATGTGTGAAACTGCAGGCTTATGGTCTTAAAGAAACAGCTTTCCCTTTCCCTCTCCTATGGGCTGGGATGCAGATACAGTGCTGGTGATTGAGCATCGACCATGGATGAGGCAAAACTCCACAGGACAGTGGAGCAACAGACAGAAGGCATTTGAGTCCCTGGTTGATCCTGTGGCCCAGGCCACCTCTTCCTGGCCTCCTGCCTTTGCTTAAGAGGAAGACAGACTTCTACCCTTTGAGTACAGTGGTTGAGTGCTCGCCTCATCAGTTTAGCCTACACCCTAATTAAAACGGGGACATTTGCCCCATTTAGTTTTTCCTGGTTACTGGAGTAATCATGTTTTAGCTACTGTGGGCTACCTTAGAGAATTAAATGTTTCCCTTTCTTAACGTGGGAAAACAAAGATGAATGGATGGTTTAAAGGTTTTTCACCCGCCTTCTGCCGATGGCCATCGACAGAAAGATGAGTTCCCTATGCCCGTTCCTGGACTTCAGGAGGAGTCTTCCTCACCCAGAGTGCTGAATCCTTGTCTACATCTTTTCATCTGCCAAGCATCCTCTAGGCCAGGCTTAGCTGCCTTCAGTGATGGGTAAACTATATCCTCTCATCTTAGAGGGTTTACTAGCAAGTACTTCCTCATATTAATGTGAAACTGGGTAACTTCCACCTACTTAAGACCTCCTAGAAATCGAATCTCTTCCACACGAAAGAAAGCCTTTCATGCGTTTGGAGAGTTACCGTCTATCATCCGCTACGCTCCCATTTATCCCACGAGAAATGCTTGGCTAAAAGCCACGCAACTAAATCTACCACAATTGTCGGGTAGTCGTCCACTGACACGGTTTAAGGAGGAAACCGATCTTTCTTGCCGGACTCACGCGCGGGAGCCGCTGGGAAAGCCCGCGCCCTCCAGCCAAGCCGAAGCTGGAGAGACTGCTCGCGGGTCCACGCCCAGGCCTGGCGCCGCCCATT